GAATCAGATGAGCTTGGTACACCTGATGATGTTACTGTGCCCAAATGTTTGCCTTTCCCATCCATGGGTGCCTCTTGAGTTTCTAGTGAACTGAAACAGTTTGCAAAGCCAGCATTTTTAAGCAGACCAACATCAGCAGTTTAAGTGCTAGCCTGTGACTTAGAATAATCCATAAGCAGCTCAGATGTCTGCGTAGAACAAGGGGGTCAACCTCTGGGAGAAGTAAGGTTGGCACTGACACAATCATGTCCCCAGATGAGATGTTCCATTGGTGTCAACAGGACAGTCATTACATTTCACCTAGTCACCAGAAACATTTTGCCCAGTGAGAAATGAGGCAGGTCCATTCTTGAATGAATATTTAGCTACCTTCTGGAATGTCAAAGTTTGCCTGTAGTTGGAGATGGCATGTCAGACTGGTGAGCTCGTGCTCCGAAATGACATCAAGAACTATGTCTCTTAGTTGCTTATGTGATTTGGTTTGTTTAGGCACAACCTGATCTCCCAGTTTGGGAGTTGGAATATATTTCCTCTGTGCCATAAAGGCTGGTATGTTCAAGTTTTAGTATTCCTCTTTGGTTTTTGCTCACTTCAATTAATTATGTAAGAACCTTGAGTACTGGTGGAATCTCAGTGTCATGTTCTGCCTAGGCATTTGTTTTAACTTCTGAAGGACTAAAAGCTGTCCAAAGTGATTACACTTATTATCTGTGTGAGATTTAGTCTCTGAAGAGATCAGATTAAACAATGTGACAGCCCATTTTGTGTTTGTAATGCCACCATCAAGATTTTATCTCAGTGACATTTCCAACTCCATTAAAAAGTGCAAGGAATGGCATATAATCCTTCAAAGTTGAGTTCAATTAAGATGATACCAGTGTTTTAAATTATTCCAGAAGATGTACTTGTGTTACTCTCAGATTTAGTTTTCATCAATTTTGGCTGGTTTTCTCTTACTTTGTATAGCAGATGTCATTATGGTGTTAAATAGTTATTAATGGTAATAATAGTTTATAGAATATTAAGAGGATTTAAACTGTTCAGTGGAAGCTAAAGAATGAAACAGCACTTACTATTTTACAGGTAAGAATTATAAGCCTCTACATTGTGATAAAAAAGTTACCAAATAAAGGAGGAATGAAAAATAAAACTATTAAATTACAATTCATTTTTTTTTATTCTAGAAGTGTGTGGTTTTAGATGGGTATATGCAAAGAGAAATGATAGCTAGTACTTAGAATAGATTTGTGGGTCTTTATTCTTCTGTAGTTTGTGCTGAAAAGTGTCTTTTTGTAGAGCTTTGATCTCTGACAAGTCAGTTTGCTGAAGTTTGGAGGTAGGGTAGGAATAAACAGTTTCATCCTGGAGTGCAATTGCCAGTTCACTGGGACTTAAATAATCTAACATGATCACAAATTAATTGGAAAAGCTATTGAGAAAGTGAGTGAAGTTTGCTAATGATGTTAATCTGGTCTTGATATACTGAGAATCTCATGGTACAGAATGACAAGTGATGAAAAGGGAAGATGAAAACCAGTAGCAGTGCCTATGGAAGGTATTTTATATACACAGTGGTTTCCCCTAGTTCGCTACCTCTCAGTAAAGTGGTGTCCTTCTGGATAGTTCCCTGAAAGTATCAGTGGTCAAAGAAGCAAGGACAGTGATAGGTATGATTCTGGAAGAAACAGAAAAACAAACAAACATTAGATCCCTGTAAAGTTTGTGATTTTCACATGATGTTCTGGTCTCTACATTTCAAAATGTACATACCAGAACTAGAAGAGGTAACAGAGGTGGCAAGGTTTGCTATTTTGAGGGAAGAGCAAGGGAGCTGGTAACCAGTCATGTAACAAGGACCACAGAGGAAGGGGCTTCACAAGCCAAGACTCACTCCCACCATACACATGAAAGTGTGATCGAGTGAGGGCTGTCAGGATCAGCCAAAAGGCACCAAACAAGTACGTAGTGATGGAACAGGTCTAAGGTCAAGACAGGAGGTTGAGTCGGGATCAGGTTCAAAAATTTTGACAAGTGCCAGACATGGTCTAGTGACCACTAACAGGTCCCTAGTGATGAAGCAGGTCTGAAGTCAAGCCAGGAACTGACTCCTTGCGTCATGACTAGGATCAGGATCTACGTAGTACAGCTGCAGCATAGCTTAGGGTAGGACAAGCGCAAAAGCCTCAGCTTAAAAGCAGCTCCCACGGGAAGGACGGGCAGCCATTTCTGAGTCTTCTTCCAGGCTTTCTTCAAACAGCTTTTTTCAGGGTCACCAGATGTACTCTTTCTAATTTGGCCCTGAGCCCAGCCAAACACCCAGGAGGTGGATGGGGGATAATGCACTTGGGACCTTCATAGGTTTGGCCACAGTTTTGGAACATCTGAAGAAAGGCTTAAGTTGGCTGGAAATTTTTCAGTCTAAAGACTGACACAACTCATAGCTGTAAAATTATGAATGACATGAGACCAGGGAATGAGTGTTCACTATTTAATAAGATAACTAGATGGAAATCAAACTTGTTGATTGATTTAAAACAAACAAAATAAGGAACTTTTCCATGCAAAACAAAGTTGTTAAATTAATTCCACAGAAGCTTGTGAGTAACAGAAGTATATAGATTACTCCAAGAGACTAGAAAAATTCATGTAACAAAATTTAGCATATTTGTTGAACACAAGGACAATACCTCTCACTCAGATCTCCCACATTTTTGTGTTTTAGAAGCTGGGAAGATAGATTGAGAGCGGTGTTTATCCAGTTTTTTCCTCTTTCCTGAAGTATCTTCTGCTAGGTATTGTGAAGTGGAGTAGTGAACTGGATTAAACTTTGATCTGACTCGTTAGAGCCACTTGTTTATCTATTAAGCACAAAAGACAATGCAGGACAGTCATTCAGAAACAGATCAAGAGGCTTCATCACTGACAAAAACAGGGAGAAGGGAGTTAATACAAAGTACTTTTAGACAAGGAAGAGGAAAGGGTGGACAAAAAGAAGAAATTATTCTTGCCATAAAAACTCTGGGAGAGAAAGTGAAAGAGACAATTCAGAAAATCAGAGCAGCTGAGATAACTGCATCAAGGGCTATGGAATTAGAATGGGCAGTAGAAAGCTGATGAAATTCAGAAGAGAGATTTGAGCTTTTCTAATAGTAGTACCTCACTTTGATAAGAGTGAAATGATTGGAGGAGATAGTTATGCTGATAAAACTGAAGAGAATGACCTCTGGAGCTGTTTTAAAACATAACGCAAAAAAAATGTGGATGGCAGAAGTCCAAGTAAAAATACCAGAGCAATCAGCATGAAATATGAACTAAGGTTTTAACAGCTGGAATGGTCAAGAAAAAACAAATCTCAATACTGTTGAAGTGACGGGAGTTGTACAAATTAGTATGGATATAGACAGGCCTCCAGGGAAAGGTCGTGCTCTTGTAACCTTCTTCTCGTTCTTCTCAGGGACTCTTCTCCCCCTCTTTCTTCTCAGGGTGATGTTCCTTTGTTCTCCTCTCACCTCCCCATCCTCCAACAGATAATCTCCCAAACAGGATGGGTAAACAACTCAGACTTAGAGTATAAGGATTATCTGTAGGCCACAAAGCAATTCAAAGAACAACTAAGGAAAAAACATGACACATCACATGCTGGTGAATGGTTCACATATGATTTCAAATAAACATGCTGCTTACTGCAGAGGATCAGAGACAGAACAGAGCATTAGAGAAGGAAAGGCTGTTATTCCACCTACCCTGAAGGGTTTGTGGCTGCTTAGTGGTGGTAGGGTGGAGGAAGTGGAATTTTGCCAAGAATCATAGAATGCTTTGCGTTGGAAGGGACCTTTAAAGATTGTCTAGTCCAACCCTCCTGTCATCAGCAGGGACATTTTCAACTAGATCAGGATGCTTTGATGCCCATCCAGTGACACCTTGAATATTTTCAGAGATTGGGCATCTACTACCTCTCTGGGCAACCTGTTCTAGTGATTCACCACTCTCATTAAAAAATAATCCTTATTTCTAGACTAAATCTACCCTCTTTTAGTTTAAAATCATTATTACTTGTCCTGTCACAACAGTCTCTGCTGAAGAGATTGTCCTTGTCTTTAAGTATTGAAAGCCCACAACAAGGTCTCCCTGGAGCCTTCTCTTCTCTAGGCTAAACACTCCCAACTCTCTCAGCATTTTTTTGGAGGAGAGGTGTTCCATCCCTCTGATCATTTTTCTGGTCCTCCTCTGGACTGCTCCAACACATCCACGTCCTTCTTGTGCTGAGGACTCCAGAGCTGGACACAATACTCCAGGTGAGGTCTCACCAGAGCTGAGGGATGGAATCACCTCTCTTGATCTGCTGGCCACTCTTCTTTTGATGCAGCCCAGGATGCAATTGGCCTTCTGGGCTATGTATGCACATTGTTGGCTCACATCCAGCTTATCATTCACCAGCACCCCCAAGTCCTTCTCCACAGGACTGTTCTCAATCCCTTCGTCCCCCAGACTGTATTGATACTGATGCTTGCCCCAGTGGAGGTGCAGGACCTTGCACTTGGCTTTGTTGAATCTCATGCAGTTCACAGAAGCCCAGAATCAAGCTTTTCTAGATCCCTCTGGATGGCATCCTTTCCCTCAGGTGTGTCAGCTGCACCACTCCACTTGTTGTCATCTGCAGATTTGCTGAGGGTGCTTAAACTGACTGTGTGTGTCATTGATGAAGATAATAAACAGCACTGGTCCCAGTATGGACCCCTGAGGGACACCGCTTGTCACCCATCTCCATCTGGATGTTGAGCTGTTGACCACTATCCTCTGGATGTGACCATCCAACCAGTTCCTTATCCATCAAACAGTCCATCTATTAAATCCATATCTCTCCAATTTAGAGAAAACCATGTTGTGGCGGACTGTGTCAAAGGCCTTACACAAATCCAGGTAGATGACATCTATAGCTCTTCTGTTGTCCACTGATGTGGTCACTCCATCACAGAAAGTCACTAGGTTGCTTAGGCAGGACTTAGCCTAGGTGAAGCAATGCTGGCTGTCTTGAATCACCTCCCTGCCCGACATGTGCCTAAGCAGAGCTTCTAGGAGGATCTGTTCCATGATCTTCCCAGTCACAGAAGCTGAGGCTGACCGGATGGTAGCTCCCAGGGTTCTCCTTTCTAACCTTTTTAAAAATCAGTGCAGTGTATCTCTTTTCTAGTCACCAGGGACTTCGCCAAACTGCCATGATTTTTCAAGTATCATGTAGAGTGTCTTGTCAACTATAATCAGCCAGTTTCCTTAGGACTCTGGCATTTTTCAACCATTGTTCCACCTGGTCAGGTCCCACAGACTTCTGTATGTTGAGATTCCTCAGGTGGTCACTAACTTGATCTTCTCTTACAGTGGGAGTAGCTTTGCTTCCTTGGTCACTGTCTGGCAGTCCATTCACTTCAGAGGTGTGGGAAGAGAGGTTGCTGGTGAAGACCAAGGCAAAATATCCTTTTTCTTGTCTGTTTTTACCAGTGTTCACCAGCAAGGATACACTTTCTTTGACCTTCCTTTTCTGGCTGACATACCTGTAGAAGCTCTGCTTATTACTCTTTGCGTCACTTGAGAAGTTCAGCTCTAGTCTTGGCCCTCGTGACCTCATCCCTACAGAACTGGGCAGTGTCCCTCTGCTCGTCACAGGATACCTGTCCCTGCTTCCACTGCCTGTGCAGTTCCTCCTTGCCTTTTAGTTTGACCTGCAGGTCTTGACTTCTTCATGCCACTCTCTTGCCTTCCTTACCTGATTTCTTATACCTGGGGATGGAGACCTATTGCACTCAGTGGAAAATGTCCTTAAAGATCTGCCAGCTCTGTTCTTCTCCCTTTTCCCGAAGGGTAGTTGCCAGAGAGTTCCATTGGCTGACTCCTTGAAGAGCTGAAAGTTTGCTTTCCTGAAGTTCAGGGTCCTGACTTCACTCTTTGCCTGGCCTGTGTGCCTCAGGGTGAGCTCCAGTGCTTGATCACTGCAGGCAAGGCTGCCTCCAATCCTGACAGCAGTGATTAGTTCACTCCTGTTGGTGACCATCAGGTCCAGTATCACATCCCTTTGGGTAGGGCTGTCTGTTACCACCTTGTTTAAGAACTTACCTTCCATGCATTTAGGCTGTTCAGTGTTCCTGCATGTAGGGAGTTTTCTTTATAGGGAAGGAACCATGCCATAACAGATGGTGTGCCAGTGATCAGCAAAGTTGCTACCATTCAGCAAAATTTTGCTTTTTGTTCCTCAGTGTAGGCAAGCAAAACTTATCTGTTCCAGTAATCTTTTTCCAGTCACAACTGGAATTGCATAAAGGATTTTCCAAGATACATCCTTTAAAGATAAGAAAGATGAACAGATGTTCCCGAGACTGGACAAAACAGTGATTCGCACATAAATAGCTGTGATTCATTGTAGGACTAAGTGCTGTCCTGTTCTTTACTCAAATGCATAAATGTCTTTCCATTTTTTTGCGTGAAATACAAGCATTTTGGTTTATTTCCATACATTTTCATTGGCATCAAATTTGTAGTAGAACTAGTTGATACAAATTGGCACACTGATATAGCGCTTCCCACTTTGAAATAGGATCTTTCCACAAATGGTTTTGATCCAGTGCGGAAGCTGAGGGCAGGCAATGTTTCTGTGCTGTTCGTGCTCCCCCTACTGTTTTTTGGAAGCATTGAACAGGCTGTTGGCTGATGTACTCGGCTGCATGAAAATAATATTGAAAGAACAGACTAAAGGTGAAAAGCATTGAGTGGAAAATTGAATCTCTGATCTTAATTCATCTTCCTGACTCCATTATTTGTAATGTAATCTTTAATTATGTGATTTACAATTTTCAACACAGCTTGGGTTTTATGAGATGAGTGACTGTTATTTAGCAATACTTTACCTGTTGCAAAAATGAAAAACCACTTCAGAAATGCAGTGGTACTCTGGAAGTAGAAAAAAAAAATTTTAAGAGTAATCAACCTGAGTTTTAATATCCCCAGTCTTCCCAGTCTTTGAATGTTTTGTAACTTTACCGATAATGTTACAAGGAACATAAGGGACAAAAATAGTATTTAACAAAAAGCCAAAGGTTGAATTACAGGCAGTCCATATGGTGTTTAAATATCAGAAATGCAATTTAGAAAATAAAATTATGAAACACAAATATGTAAACTGATAACAAGTTGCATATATATACATATACGCACATAATTATTTAATTTTAAATGAGATGATGAGGATCTAGTAGCATATTCTGAATCTCTCCAAGTTTATGTTGAGCCACAATACGAATGTTAATATGCACTAAAAAGGAGCTGGGAAACTGCAATGAGTGGATTCCGTTGGTCTTGTTAAAAAAAATCTTGGTAAAAATGCTGTGAGGAAAGTCAGCTTCATTTTCAGTATTTACATCAAATTGCTGGAGTGCTAATATAGAACTAACTTCCATTAATGCTCTGAAAAAAATAACATCCTTGTTTTCTGGCTAGATGCAAAAATGTAATAGTTTTACAAAACTGTTTGCATTGCTTGATAAAGTTATTTTTAATCTATCATCAAACTAAAAGCTAAAATTAAGTAGTAACCATACAATAATAATGAGTTATTTTTATAGTCAGAAGACTTAGACTAATATTTAATCAAGATTATTATAAAATATTTCAGAAAAGTTTAAAAACAAAATATAAAACTAAAATTGTGAATAAATCATTCAAAAATACTGGATTTTTAATTTCTTTTAGAATGTACTACTCTACAGAATGTGATAAAGGGTCTAACACAAACTATTGAAAACCAGTGTAACGTGAAAGGTAAAAGCAAAAACATTCTTATGTATACTGTACTGTACTGTAATTTGGAATGGGCAGGCATTTAATTTTTTTGTTTATATTTATTGTTTTCTTCAGAGAGAGTAACTCACAGCCAAACAGAAAAGAAAAAAGTTATCTCAAATCAGTCTTGTGCAGATTTTGGTAATCTATTTGCTGAATGAATGTCCATTGCTATTACCCTACTTAGAATCCACATGTAAAAGAAGTCCATCCTCAAGTGAGGGGGTTTTTAATCAATATTTGGGCTTTAAATTTTTTTTAGCACAGATGATTTTATAAAAAGTGAGAAAGCATCATTCAGCTGTTGGTCTGTAGTCTATTAAACCATTTATGCATAGTTTTTATCACTTTGTTAAACCAGAGTCTTGATCATCAGTGTAATGTTATTAAAATCTGGCTGTTATCCATAGATACTTGACAGTTACTCATTGCTATTTTAAATAAAATATGAAAATATTTGCTATATCTTTATACCATAATTTATCTGGATACCATGTAGTTAGTTTTATGCCCACTGTGTGTTCAAGGCAAATTAGCATAAATATTAATAAACCTAAAAAATTGAAGTACATACTTGCTTTTAATACTCTAAGTGACTTCTAATGACCAAAAAAACGCATCATCTGGGTTTTTTTCTACTTTCTATTTTTTAGGAAACAAGTTCTTAAACAGTTGCATCTACTAATTTGAAACCATTGTAGCCATGATAATAATATTTTATTTTCTGAGCCAAAGAACTCTGCATCCAGATTTTCCAGTTATCGGAAGGCTGAAGACAGTTCAAAGTAGTAATACCAGGCCAATATTATAATGAAACCATGAATTTTCTTTTTTAAAAAATGTAGACTGAGATTATGTAGTTCTATAAATTATTATCATGTCTACAAAAAAGTTTCTTAACATTCAGACAAGTAAAAATAATGAAAGTAATTTCCTTATTCTGTTTTCATGCTAATAATATTGTCAAAATGTACTTTGTAGTGTATCATATAGTTTTTATTTACACAGATGAAAATGATAGGCTGAAGGGTACTATTCACATCTTGGAAGAGAAATTGAAGTCTTGTGAACAGGTGCGTCACAAATTATCATTCTTTAGTTAGAAGAATATCTCTATTTTAGCAGTTCATATATCTTTATATTTTGGGGTTTGCTGCTGATCGCATTATCGTTGCACTTTTCCTAACATTTTTCATGTTTAAAAAGAGAAGAGTTGTTCTCATGACAGTATCAATATGAGAATGTGTTAAAGGGACTAAGAGGTAAAAACCACCTAGTGCTGAGAATTCTGACTCAATCTAAGATGCGCTTACTTTTTTTAGTTGTGTTTAGTTTTTGGTTTTGCTCTTCACAATGCCTGCTACACTGCTAGAAATTCAAGAACTGACTGAATTTTGTCTATATTTTCTTCAGGAATAATAGCTACAAAGATAATAGGTCTCTGCTTTTCATCTCTTCTTCTTCTTCTTCATCTTCTAATAAATTTCATTTACCCTGTCTCAACTTTTTATCTATGCCACTCATTTTTGGAAAGGAAATAACACCAGCAGGGTTAGTCGCAAGCTGTGCTCTGTGTGCTAAGATTGCAGATCTGCTACCTGTATAGGATCAGGAATCTCACTGCTGTTTTGTTTTAGCTGTGTTTGTATTAACTGTGAGTTAAAAATAAATTTTTATACCAATAGAGCTATTATCTTGACAGTTCTATAGTAAAATAAGTTATGCCTTCTGAAAGAGGTGAGAAATCTATGATTCTACATATTGTATACATGTATGAGCATGGTGGAACTTCCTAGTGTTGTTCTGAAGGCACTTACTTGATTACATCCACATATGCTATTATCACCAGTCAGTAACTGCCTTTCTGAGTGCTTCCAAGCACTGCTCTGGTGAGTGGCTACCTACCTAGAGAGAAGGCTCTGAGAAGAGCTTTAGGGTAAGCATGTCTGCATTGGCAGCTACAGCCGAGTCCCCAGAAGTCATGGAGTAGTCTTTGAAGCAAACTTGGAACAAACATACTTAAACTCTTCAGTATCCATGCCACCAGCATCGCTACTGCTGCTGTCACTGATGTTTCTCCTGCTGCTATTATATTTGTTATGCAGTCTTACAGTCAAACATCAGCTAAAGTGAAATTGTAGTCAACTAACTGCAACATTGTATCAACAAATCTTGTATTGGAGAAAGGAATGTGACCTCTCAATCTGCCCGTTCTCCTAATAAGTAAAATTTCTAATTTTATGTTAACTGATATCTGTAATACAATAAAATCTACTACATTTTTCCTCTGTGGACTTCAGCCAGATTGTGTAAGAAGTAGTTGGACATTTTGAATTTACTATGTAGAGGGTAAAACAAGTACTGAATTATAGAGTACCCTACATTTTGACAAGAATGTTGTGCTTTGCAGAAGGCTAAGAGCACAGAAACCTCAGGATTTTTATGAAGCCTTTTACATTTGCAGGAATATAAAGATCAGATTGAGAAACTTATGATAGAACTTAAAAACAAAGAAGAAGACCACAAATTAGAAATAACACAGCTGAACTGTGATGTAAGAAAAAAATGTAAGTTTTCTTAACACTGAATGCTATAGTATTGGATAGAACATATTGTAAACTGTAAGAGCTATACTTCATCTAGGATCATTACAAGTTCCACTTCTTAATGGAAACAGAAAAACTAGAAGTAGACAGTGTTTAATTAAATTTTACCTTTTCTCAAGAGACTAGAGAGTGTCCAATGAAGCCATAGTAAAGCAACACAGAATGAGCAACAATTCCTGAACAGGTAGAGCAGACACTGGGAGCTTGGGCCTAAAAATCTGAAGAAATGAAATTTTGGGTTAAGTGTTGACCAGAAAGTTGCTTTGAACTGTGAGCTGGACTGCTGTTAGTGTGTTCCATCTATGCTCAAGAGGGTAGGACATAATTTTCACAAACAAATAATGCTGCAGTGAGAAAAACCTTATTTCAATATTTGTAAATATATTTGTAAAATGTGATGCTTCTTTAAAGAGACTCCATCTCACTGGGATGGAACAGGGTGGCTTTCACACGGTTTTAAAGTGTGCTTTTGCTTAAATGAAATTATTTTCCTGTAAAATACTGACCCACCATTCAAGAAGATTTTAATATTTGGGAAATTACATTATTTCTCCATCTGAACATCTTTTGCAATCATCATATGTGGTACTACTGTGTTTCTAGTTGAAGTAAAAGAAGAGGAGTACAGAGAACAGAAAGAGAAAAAAGAACTGGAAATACTAGAGCTAACTAGACAGCTGAAAATGCAAAATGAAGAGAAGCAAAATGAAATAATTAAATTGCAGATAGAGGTATGCCTTACAAAGTTGAGTTAAAGATAAACCAGTCATTGGGTAAACTTAGAAGAGACTGTTTAGTGAAAAGTGTTTATTAGTACTTTAACAAAGTAGAATCATAGAATCACAGGGTGTCAGGGGTTGGAAGGGACCTCTAGAGATCATCTAGCCCACCCCCCTGCCAGAGCAGGATACCCTAGGGCAGCCACACAGGAACACGTCCAGGTGGGTTTTGAAAGTCTCCAGAGAAGGAGACTCCACAACCTCTCTGGGCAGCCTGTGCCAGGGCTCTGTCACCCTCACAGTGAAAAAGCTCCTCCTCATGTTGAGGTGGAACTTCCTATGTTCTAATTTAGACCCATTATTCCTTGTTCTATTACTGGGCATCACTGAGAAGAGATTGTCTCCTTCCTCTTGACACCCATCCCTCAGATATTTACATACGTTAATAAGGTCCCCTCTCAGCCATCTCCTTTCAAGGCTAAACAGCCCCAGTTCTCTCAGTCTCTCTTCGTAGGAGAGATATTCAAGTCCCTTGATCATCCTCATAACTCTTCGTTGGACTCTCTCCAGTGGGTCCCTGTCTC